AGTAGCACGGAACTAACACAAAGAATCAACAACTGGGATCTCATCTTATTAAAAAGTTTTTGCAGTGCAAGAGAAACCACCAACTGAGCTAAGAGACAACCTAAAATGTGGGAAAAAATTTTACCAGCTATTCCTCAGACAAAGGTTTACTATCTAGAATATATAAACAACTCAAAAAATGACATTCCCCCAAATATAAAGACCCAATTCAAAAATGGGCATCTGAAATTAACAAACATTTCTTAGAAAAAGAAATAAAAGCAGCAAATAAACATTTTAAAAAATGTTCACCATTACTGGTCATTTGAGAGATGCAGATGAAAACAACACTGAGATTCTGTCTCATCCCAGAAAGAATGGCTGCTATCAAGAAATCTACCAATAACAAATGCTGGTGGGGTTGTGGGGAGAAAAGAACACTTCTCCATTGTTGCTGGGAGTGCAGACTGGTGCAACCACTGTGGAAATCAGTATGGAGATACCTCAACAAACTAGGATTAGAGGTTCCATTTCACCTAGCTATCCCTGTGCTGGGTATCTTCCCAAAAGAATTAAAAGAATCATACCACAGTGATATGTGCACACCCATGTTTATATCAGCACAGTTTGTAATAGCTAAAACTTGGAAACAGCCCAATTGCCTATCAACTGGAGACTGGATTAAAGATGTTATTTTTCTATAAAATGAAGTACTACTAGGCCATAAAGAATGAGAATCTAGAGTCATTTACAGAAAAGTGGATGCACATTGAGGCCATCCTCTTAAGTGATATGAAAAGGACACACATGTAAATACCAAATACTTTCTCTGGTGTGAAAAACTAAAAGTATAAATAAGGTTCACATTGTATAACTGATAATGTGAAAAAGAAAGAAAAGGGCTAAAAGAGGAGGGGAAGTAGGAAGGGTAGAGGAAAGGAAAGAAGGGAAAAGAAAAATATGAGAAAAGGATAAAATGGAAACACAGTCTTTGTAAACAGGGAAAGGTGGAGGGGGTAAAGGAAGAGGAGGGTATGGGGAAAAAATTAGAGCCAAGATCTAACATGTAAAGGTACAAGATCCCAATGATGAATATAACTTTAAAAAGTACCAATAAACTCAATGAGGAAAAAAAAATCAGATACATTGTTGGATAGGTGAACAAAGTGATCCACACAGAAAGGAAGTGAGGGAGGGAGGAAGGAATAGCTGGAAAGGTAGGACTCAACTACCATCTACTAACACCTCTCTTGTATTATATTATAGTATGAAGAGATGCCTGCTTTCAATAACCACTCAATTCAACATAATAATGATCCAAAATGAAAAACAATGGAAAGGAGGAGAAACAAAAACTAAAAATTTTGCAGGACATTCAGATAAGAATAGCTACCATACAATACTTAAAGCAACTTATGCAGGACTTTAGATTAAATCTTAACCTGTCACTATAAAGTGCTACTATCTCGGGTGTGGTGGTGGACCCCTGTTATCCCAGCACAGGAAGGCTGAGGCAGGAGGATCACTGCAAGTTTGAGGCCAGCCTAGGCTACATAGTGAGTTCAAGCCAGCCTGAGCTGCATAGTGAGACCTTGTCTCTATAAAACAAAACAAACAAACAAAAAAAGTACTATCTCATTTTTTCCTAAAAGTTTACAACACTACAGAATACTAAAAAAGTCAAGTTGTTTCTCAAAACTGAAGCAAAAGATATAAGTGAGAAGACATACTCTGTACGACAACAAAACAGCTAAAGACATGGACTTCTATTTCAGCTCCTTTCTACGCTTCTACTTTACCTCAAACATCTTACTAACAAATTATGAAAAGCTTACAAGAAATTTTTGATAAATTTTTATAGTCATCAACATCTTTAAGAATAGGTATTTTAATTTCAAAAATAGTTAACATACTGAAAAGCCCATGTAAATATAAATTGAAAAATAATCCTATTCACTTTCATTTCTTAGGAATCTGTTGACCTTTCAGAAGTGAGAGTCACACAAAAAAATAATTCAAGGTATCTTTCTAGGACAATCTAATGGCAAAGTCATTGACTCTAGGATGACTATAGTTCCTAATGGTTGAGTGATTATTCTGAAAAGAGATTTTTCAAAACTATGTTATAACAGTTTTCAATTAAAGGGGAAAAAAAAGTCCAGGAAAATAAGGACTCTCTCACTCTAATCTTGCTCTATGAAATGTATTATAATAAACTTCCTATTTGTTAGTGACATTTAGATAATTATGAAAACTAGCTGTCAGAGTCTTAGAGATATACTGATTCTCAATGTAGCAGTACCTTCAAGCAAGAGATGTGTCATTGGATTTTATCCTTTTAATATTAAAAGAATAAAACAAAGTAACCAAATGTTAAAAAGATTTTTTAAATCAGCCAATAAAGAAATCAATAAAAATTTCAATAAACTCATACTATTACCCTACTCCTACAGAAAGTTTTTCTACATTTTCTTTCAGTCGTTTTGTCCAATCTCTTGCACAGTCCCAAATACAGTAGACCCTCACGTTTTGACCAGGCTCAATATGAACAACCTGGGTTACAACCAGAATTTTTAACTTATAACCAAAGTCTTGAGTTACAAACCAAATGCTGGTCTTTCCTGTGTGGGGCTACTTGAGAAATCCTGGGCCAATGTCTCTCTAAGGACATTGAGATCTGCCTGGAAGAAAGTATGGCCTAAAATTATAGAAGAGAGAGACTGAAGGCTGTGTAGAAGAGCCTGAGCCTTCAACTGACCCCCTGGTTGATAACACTGTCACCATAGCAGAGTCTACCAAACTGTAGTTAGACAGATGCTGAGGTACTGGTGGAAGAACACTCAGAGGAACTTCTTCTGGCTGAGCAGCAGAGAATAGCCATTGAGAAGCTTTCTGAAGAGAAAGGGAATATCAACAACCAGTGGATCAAAGTTCTTCTGAAATAAAGGAATTCCTGAAGAAATGGACAGAGCTACCAACATCTGTAGAGAATACCAACCCAGACAGAGAAAAAGCCAATCGCTTCATTATTTTGTTTAATGACAATGTCACATAATACTACAGAACAGTGTTAAAGACAGAAACAGACCATCTTAGACCAGTTTTTAGTTCTGTAAAGGTTGAGACCTCGTGAGCCAGAAGCAGATCCTAGTGGGCTACAGACTCGCTCAAGGAGAGGAAAAACACCAGAGAGCCAGGATCAAACTCAGGACCTTGCACTTACAAGGCAGGTGCAGTGACACTGAGCTAAATCCCCAGCCCCTCTTGGTGTTCTCATGGAAGGGGACTCTCCTTCCAAACAGTACCACCTTCCATCCTCCCTTCCTGTAAGCCAAAGATGTCAATGTGAATGGTAGTACAGTAGGTAATTGTTGTTTCTGGTAGACTAGGCACATTTTATAACTTTTTGGTAAATACACAAGGAAAATTATTGGTATTTCCGGTAAATTACACAAATTATACAATGCTTTTGTATTATGAAAAGGTCAGTTAAGGAGTACTTTTGGCGGTCTGGAATGCATTATGTACATTGTCATTATTTCTTATGGAAAAAATAGTCTTGATTTACAACCAACTTAAGTTATAAACAGCCCTCACAAATGAGTTGGGTTTATAAGTCAAAGGCCCACTGTATATTTACTGGGGTTCTAATACATGCCAAAGATTGATTTAGTGCACCTACATTTTATTAACACATGGGCATCAAATAGGTACAGTGACAAGAGGCCAGGGATTCAGCTCAGTCGTTCTGCCGCCTACCTCACAAACTCAAGGACCCGAGTTCAATCCCCGGTACCAAAAAAAAAGGGTTTATAAGTCAAAGGCCCACTGTATATTTACTGGGGTTCTAATACATGCCAAAGATTGATTTAGTGCACCTACATTTTATTAACACATGGGCATCAAATAGGTACAGTGACAAGAGGCCAGGGATTCAGCTCAGTCGTTCTGCCGCCTACCTCACAAACTCAAGGACCCGAGTTCAATCCCCGGTACCAAAAAAAAAAGGGTATAGTGACAAACTTAGAAGAGATGATGTTGCTCTCACTGGACACAAGTAAAAGATCAAACATGGAGCAGCTAAGTAAATGCCAAAGGCCTGGAAGCCACAAGTCCACGGAGCCTGATCCCACAGTCCATGGTGAGCACACTCACCACACACCTCCATGGTCATTAATGCCAACCAGGCACCAAAAAATCCTGAAGAGCAAAGAATTCAAAAATTCTCTCTAGCTTTAGTGATTCCTTCAATATTCCAATGTCCACTGCCTTTCATCCAGAGTTGATGCCTTGCACAGAAAGGGGACAGAAACTACAAATTTCAAGCTTTAAAATGCTTAATAGGCCTCTATATCTGGGAGTGGGATTATGGCTAATTTATACGTTTTTCTTATTTCTACATCATTTATTTTTAACCATAAGAACTCTATCCCTTATATCCTATCTAGGCTACCCACCCTTAGGGAGGATAGCACTCACACCTAGTGTGGGCTACCCTTAATCCTAGCATTGAACCATGAATCAATCCCAGCATCACATCCTTGCAACATATACCCTCCTCTGAAAAGCTCCACCTATGGCCCCATGAGGCTTTGGGGAACATCTAGACAAGCCATAACAAAAGGACCTCCTCATCTAAACATAACCCAATTACATTTCCTTCAACCATTTTCTAAGTCAGTCATTCTGTTGTTAGAGTCAACTCCCACCTATTCCACTTATCCATTCCATAGAGCTAAATCAGTGGTATTTTACTCTATGTTCACCAAGAATCTACAGTTTCATAACTACATGGAGGACAAATAACTTTCTCTCACTTACAAAAATTTAAATACACTGCATGGCAGAAAATGCCACACACACACACATGCATACCACCACCAACCAATAACAACAGCAGCAACAAAAAATACTAAGCACTAGGCCAGGGATTCAGCTCAGCGGTGCTGCCACCTGTCTCTCAAGCAGAGTCCTGAGTTCAATCCCCAGTACTTAAAAAAAAAAAAATACTAAGCACTTACCCGGAATGCTGCAAGAATGATTCTTGTTACTTTCTCTTTGACAGATTCTTGAAGGATGTCAGAGAGAACAGGAATGATATTGTAGCGCCGCAGGTGTTCACACATTTGAGGACTGAATGCCAGGAGCCATATTGAGAAAATCATTTGATACTGGAGTTGAAAACCACATTTGTTACTCAAAACTCCCATTATGCTGAAAAGGAACACACAATTAGAAAATATTTAGTATGATGGCAAAACAAAAAGAAATGAGCAATCATTCTCTTTGCATAACAACAGAACAAGGCTCTCTGAATTATGTCCTCAGTTTCTTCTCTACCAGCAATAACTCAGAGGGCCATTTCCAGCACAGCTTCACTTACCCCTCTCTCCAAAAGCCACAGAACCTCAAGAAGCAGAAGCAGGGAAGCAACAAGAAAGGAAAGCAAGAGTTGTAAGAGCACAAGACATGAACAGGAAGGAGCATGTGACAGACAACAGAGAATGAAAATCAACAGAAGTGGTGACAAAACAAATGTACATCTTCAAGTCACATTTCATATCTAGATTTTCAGTATGGGCAACCAAGAGGATAGCTTTAAAATACAATGGAAATTCAGAGAAAGGAGGGCATGGCTTTAGAAACTTATGATGAGTCCAATTTTGACACAGCCAATCACAGAATTTGGAGTCAGAAAAAACCCTCAGAAGCTTCCAGCTTTATATCTTATTTCACCAATAAGAAATGAAGAAGTGTCATAGAAATGAAGGAAGTTATTCCAAGGAGATAATATAAATAACAGCAGATAGCTTGGGAAATTTCCTGGGAGAAAGGCCCACATTCATACAATGAAAGTCAGAAATGATCAAATAATTTGAAATGACCAGCAAGGATACAAGTGTTCAACACAGTGACCCTAATATAAACTATGGGCTTCTGTTAATAATGATGTATCAATATTGATTCTGTTGGAACAAATATATCAATCATACAAAATTTTAATAATAAGAAAACCAGGGCCAGGGATTTAGCTCAGCGGTTCAGTGGCCTGCCTTGCAAGCGCAAGGACCTGAGTTCAATTCCTGGTACCAAAAAAAAAAAAAAAAAAAAAAAAAAAAAACCGTTGGAGGGGGAGAAAAATGGGAAAAGAAAACCTTTGGAGGGGGAGAACAATGGTCACTCCGAATAATTTCAATTTTTCTGTAAACCTAAGGCTACTACTCTATTAATAAAAAGTTTTATGAAGTCATTTTTTTTTTTTTTGTGGTACCAGGAATCAAACTCAGGCCCTTGTGCTTGTGAAGCAGGCAGCAGAATCACTGAACCAAATCCCCAGGCTTATGAAGTCAAATTTTACAGTATAAGGCTTCTATTAACTTGACAGAAGTCTTGTATCTGTGCCAATTCTCCATTTTTGTGACTTATATACAGTTCTAAATTTGCCTTAATTTTCTCATGCATGGGTTCTCCCTTGAATCTCCTTCAGACTGGGTTATTACATAAAACTTACTTTTTAAAATACTGACACCAGCGGCTCAAACACTATAAAATCTCTTACCTAATCTCTTTGTTCTCTGACTGTTCCAATTATTAAATTTCTACACTTGGCTTGGTGGTGCTGTGTCTGAGACCCTGAAAACCACACCTCTGCTATACCTGCTGCTCCCGTGAGGCTCAACCAAGACAGTTCGGGGCTGACCAAAAAGATAGAGATAGAAGGAACTTTCTTCTCTTGGCTTCCTGTTCCGGTGAGCTTCACTCAGCAAGACTTTTTAACCCCAGAGCGTTAGTTCCTTCCATTAAAAGCAGCCAAATTCAGCTTCATTTTTGAGTTCTAGCAGAACAAACATTTTCATGTAACTTCAGACACCAACTCTAGCCAACTAGGGATCCTCGTCAAAAGGCCTGAGTCCTTGTACGAGGCTCTTCCTCAGAATTCAGAGACATCAACATCAGAGGAACAGAGCTTCCTCCTCACAGCTGTGAACTTCAGATTCCCTCACTACTTGTCAAAGCTTATAAATGCCATTGATCAAACCTCTGACTTTTGCTCCTCCCAGCTTTATGGGTGGTATCTGCACCTGCTACCTCCCAGATACTTCAGTTAGGTTTTTTGTTTTGTTTTCAGAACAAATTAGTTAGCAAATGTATACCTAGTTAATATTCTTCACATCAAATTATTTCTGTTAAAATTCTTTTTTTTTTTATTTTTAAATGAACATAAGGGTAAGGAGAGCTCAGAGACAGTACCGCACTGTTGAAGCCAAAGTAGAAAGGTTTCAAAGGAAGTAACTGTTAGCACAATGAACATTACAGAGAAGTGTAAGAAACTTCAATGTTTATATACAAGACATGATTTTACTGAAAAGATGAGTCTTCTGTGTGTAAAGATTAACCACAAGAAATATCCTAATGGAGGAATCAGGAAAAGAGGGAAAGAAAGGAAATGAAAAAGAATGAAGATGTGTTATGTAAATGTATCAACTCCCTACAGTAAGTGTGGTCATTATTTATTGCATACATGTACTTATAAAAACAAATTTTAAAATAATTGTTAAATTATCCTAATGAACAAAATAAAGTACCCTTTTACCAGAATAAGGAAGGGATTGGCAGGGAATTCAGCTTAGTGGCGCTGAGCCTGCATCACAAGTGCAAGGTACTGAGTTCGATCCCCAGTACCACAAAAAAAAAGAAGAAGAATAAGGGATTCAGTTTAGGACAAGAACCCTGAATACAGTGGTTCAGGACAAAGTACCCACTATAGGGGCACAAAGGACAGAAAAATCCAGGATATACCTAAATATAGAGACTTAAATATTTGCTGAGGAACTATGTGGAGATATAGCACAAGGCATGGGGGATATGGTAGGAGGCAAAAATGCTCTCAAATATCTTAGAGATTCAGGCAGTCAGAAGGAGGGTTCCCAGAGGAAGGGACCTGTGGAGTAAATGGCATTCACCACTATTTAGACCTCCGCTCTCCCTCTTACAACAAATGCAAGTTAATAAAAGGAGCATCACAGGGGGGTGAAATATACCATTACCTATGAAAATTTTCATTTTCCAATAAAAATATGCACTTTAGCATAATGGTTGCCGGCTTTGTGGCTTAGTAGCTGTGTTGGGAAATACAGGAAGGAATATTTGTGTTACCCAATCAGCATGATGAACAGAAAGGTGTATACATGAGCATCAAAATGTGAGTGGGTGGGTTTTATCCCAGGTATGAACCGTGTTACACTTTTGTATATTTATAATTTTTTATTAAATGTTTTCTTTTTATTTTTCTTGTAAAATTAGCCTAACTCAGTAAAATATCACATGAAAATCTGCTTTTATAACTTTGGAAGGAGGTTGAAAATGAGTTATCAGGTAACTTGGCTACAAATTTTGACTTAGATCATGTGAGCCAAAGAAGTTAGCAAGATATAACATAGAAGTACAGAATGAAGATCTTGATTCAGATGATGAAAAAAACAGTAATGTAAATAAATATTTGACTAGTCAAAATGCTACAAAATGGTCATATATGTTTCAATGATCCAATGCTAGAAGTTGGTCAGAAAAGGTTATTAGGCTCTTGGCAGGGTTTGAAACTTACTGGACTTGGAATGCCAGCACTGTGATTCAATGTTAGAAACTGTAATGGACGATATGCTACAAATGTTGTAAAACACACAAATAACAAAATGCAAGTAAAATATTCTATATACATCAATGTTAATATTTAAAATGTATTTATTATGACATCTCACTGTCTGAACTGAGCCAGGCCTGGTGGCACACACCTGTAATCCCAGCACTCAGGAAGCAGAGGCAGTGAGCTCAAGGACAGCCTGAACTATATAGTGAGATCCTATCTCAGGAAAAAAAAAAAAAAAAAAAAAAAAATACGCATTTGTATAAACAGGTCTGGAGCTCAGAACAAAAGTCACTGCTAGAGATAAAAATCTTGGAATTTGAGAAATGGAAAATAGAGGCAGATGCTCCCCAAAAATACAGGCTAAGGAAAGAGTATTAAAATGTAATGCTTTAAAACTATGAAAAAAATACTTTACGATCATTCCCCATTCACAATGTAAAGGATGTATTTTCAGCCCAACTCTGGATTACAGGCAGTAAACACAAACCAAAGACTTTCTCAAGTCTTAACTTTCTCTTTTTAATTTTGATGAAAAACTACCCACACAGAATGAAAAGTAATTGATAATCTGGCTGCTATCCCCTCATTGTCTGAGAGCTTTGATTCAAACTACCAAGGAATTTACACATCATCTAAATACATGGCTACTAATAAACAGCTCACAGCATTTCGTGGTCACTGTAACTTTAGGCAGTATTTGCCAAATAAGCCTTCAAAATGCAGTATAAAATATATGCCCTGGTGGATGTGAAGACATATTATACTTTCAATTTAGAAATTTATCCTGAAAGTTAGCCCGGTACCAAAAAAAAAAAAGCTAAAGTTAATAATTCGTCAATAGAAATACTTCTAAAAGATAAATGGGTCTTATATGCCCCATAATGCACATTTCACAGACATTTGCCATGACGCCCCGATTAATAAACTACATATCTGCAAGCATGGTATAACTTTGTAAATCACTGAGAAAGTCACAAAATGAAGTTGTAGAACCCTAAAGACTAGCTTTGCTGGGTTTTAATACTTTGTGACCCGATAAATAAACTTCTTAAAAAGAAAGGATATACATCTTTTATCCCTTATAGTTAATAGCATGACATTACACAGAAAGCTTAGTTAATAAAAATAAGTGTCATATTCAAGATTAGAAAGAAATCCAAAATCACTATCAGTATTCTGCTTTATTTTTTAACTACAGTTTTGTCTTTTAATCAAACTTAGTGAGGAGAGAGAGAGAATAGCTGGTTTATGGCTAACAAGACATTTTTTAGTATTAGAGCTGCTGCCCTGCAAAGCCATGAGCATCTCACACCTCATCCCGCAACATCAACCAAAAAGGTAAGGTTTCAACTATTTTTTTAGAAATTTTACCTTTAGACTTTACTTTAAACTTTCAAAATAATTAAAATTGAAGGCTATAAATGTTCACAAATGCTGGCTCGATTTGTGGAAGTAATTTTTCCCAGGAAGCATTCACCTTTGGCTCCAATGTTTTTTAATGATCATAGTATAACCAAAAAAATGCAGTGAATGCTCAAAATTTTTTAAATGTACTATGGTGAAAGACATTAACATGAATCCCTCTACTCTTCCTCATGTCAAACACACTGATCCCAGTGCTCTTGCCACTTTCTGAAGCAGTTCTGGAAGTCCTCTTTCATGAATGTCTGTAGATGTACTGTTATGGTTGCTACGATGTCCTGAATCATTCAAAACCCTTACATGGTCATTTTTATTTTGGGGAAGAGCCAAAAGTTGCAAGGTGCCAGATCTGGTGATTAAGGTTGATGAGCACATGTAATGTCTTTGTGACCTTGCCTTTCCACTGGATGGCACTCAGCAGTACTACTGGCTGTATTGTTTAGGGCACACCTCACAAAGACACAAAAGAGCACTTCCAGAGCTATTTCAAAAAGTGACAAAAGTGTTAAGTATACTTGAAGCAAGGGGAAATATTTTGAAGGGGATTTATGCCAATGTATTCTTTACTGTAATAAATTCTTTTTAATTTAAACATTCACATATATTTCAATCACAACTCATAAACCTTCAGTCTGCCTAGAAAAATCAACAAAATATAATGAAAACTACCATTTTCATTATAAATACATAATTATCAAAAACAATGTTGCATTGTGCATATAATAGGCTATTTCACCAAAAAAGAGTTAGCAGACTTTATTAAAATGTACTGAGATTTTAAAACATTATTTATCTTCCTTTCATCAAACAAATTATACTTAAAATTTTTTTCTCCTCGGGTGAGGGATTTAGCTCAGTGGTTCTGCTGCCTGCCTCACAAGCACAAGGAACTGCATTCAATCCCGATACCAAAAAATATATATTTTTTTTTCCTCATATTATTCCTGCTTGTTATTTGAGAAGCCCAAAAACAAAAGTTTTTAATGCTAAGCAAAAGAAATGAAAAAGTAGAAAGTATATTGTATTTCTGAAAAAATAAAAGATTAAATGACCTTTCTCTAAATTGCTATTAGCAAGTTAAGATCTACACCTGTATTAATACCTATTCACAAACTTGATCTTGGTACTAACCTCCAGATATGTGAGAAATAAATTTCTGCTGTTTATAAACCACCCAGGCTATAATACTTTGGTTTTGATAGTTTCCTCTCAGGAGTCTCAGATTTTAATGCATTATAGACAAATGTGCCTATGTAACTAACCTTCAATAAACCCTTAGAACGTAAGTCTGTAACAGATTTCTAGACAGAAATCTCACACAAATATTGCATTTCCACTGCTTGGGAGTCAGTGTAACCAACCTCATGGGACGGAGAAGGCAGAAAGAAGCCTGCACACCTATACATGCATTCCTCCTAACTCAGCCTGTGTCTTTGTCCCTTATGACCCAGCTATTAATCCTTAGCTTGTCTTTGTAATATTTCTTAGCCATAAATACCAGCTGCTGATGCCTACAAGTCTAATGAATTTCTTGACACAAAGTAAACACAGCCAAGAATTCAGAACTTTTGTTTGCTAACCATAACGCCAATTTACACAGAATATCTCCACAATTAAGTAGGTTAATTAGAAGATGAAAGCAAAGAAAAAAATAGCATTCTATTCTTTAAAACTGATAGTGAAATTGGTCATATAAGTCAAATATTAAACAGTGAATCTTTAGATAACTGTATAATGCATGTATTTTCCCAAATTCAAGAATGAATGAGGGCCAAGATTCAGCTCAGTGGTTCCACCAGCTGTCTCGCAAGCACAAGGTTTCAAATTCGATCCCCAGTACCAAAAAAAAAAAGAATGAATGACTAAGCAATAAATTTTTCTAAGTAGAAAAAGAAAATACAATATTCTCATCATGGTGACATTCAACATGAAAGACTTCAAGAAAATATTCTGTAACAAGAACTTAGGCCATTTTCCTCAAGGACATGTAGTGATTCTCTTTCATCTTTTATGATTTTATACATCTAAGCTTATTTATACAACAAAATTTGCTATGCTTGAATTCTTACTAAAATTTCTAATAGTTTCACTTTCTTTTCATTCTTACTTGTTAATTTTTCATAAAAAGACAAAATATTCATTTTTAAGGATCTATTGGACCAGATGAAAATTATAGTAAGTATTTTTATTGGTGACTGGGGATTAAATAAATATGAATAGACTGAAATTTTGCAGATTAAAACAAGAAAAATTACTAACTAATCTAGTCAATGAAAACAATTATTTGTGACAATTTAAATCCAATTCCTAACTACTAAGAGTAGCCATTACAGAAGTAACACCCCCTGAGCAACTGCACACACATGTTCACTAAAGGAGATCTGAAATATTCATATCCTTTTGCAGGTATTTCCCTACACTGGAAAACTCTGATAATATATGCATCATTGAATCACTTCTCACTCTATATCCTTGCTCACCAGGCAATTTACTATCAATAATGTAGCTTCCTCTACAGACTTTCCAACAGAAAAAAATGCCCTCACTAACAAGCATTTGGTTTAAAACAGTTAAGTCTCTCCTTATGAAATAAATTGGATTTCCAGGGATTGAACAAAATCAGTATTTAGGGTAGGTTTTTTTTTTTTGTTTTTGTGGTTTTTTCTTTTTGTATAAGTTTGTTAGTCCTAGCACGCACCTCTTCAAACTTTGTATACCTACCAAGGACTCTACATAGAATGGGCTAAATTATATGGCATTAGAAAGTTTATACTCACTCTTTTCTGGGTAAGACATTTCCTTACTGATACTACTGACAGTGACTGCAAAATAATTTTATAATTGTTCTGTATCCTGAGTACATGGAATGTGTTCTGCCCAGTATTAGGCTCTTATGAGACCTTACATGGTTAGAAAAATACAGCCCAAGGAAGTGGAAATGTTCAGTTTGATAGTTAACTGGCTTCTATTAAGGCTAGTATAGTCCATTGTTAGGCAGATATTTTAAAAATACTTTTACATGATTAATATATCAATTTCTTTGAAAATGTCAAGGAGGAATACTTTTAAATGTTATTCGACATTAAAAATAAAAGGCACTAAGTGAAATAAATAAGTCCCACATGTGTAAATAAAAAAAAATAAAAATAAAAAAAAAATAAAAGGCACTCACCAGTTTACCCCATCTGCTTCCACCCAGGCAAAGCGGTACTCATTGACCCGGAGCATCAGCTGTAGACATCCAGCAACACACTGCACATATTGAGAACTCTACACAAGAAGAAGTCCACAGTTTGAGATCACACATATTCCTATATGAAAAGTTTAATTTTTCACCAAAACTTGCTAACATTAGAGCATCCAAAATTCCCTTTGCAAAGCTGATCCTCATGTTTGCTTTTATCTCCACCCCTTACAGATGAAGATGATTTTCTCTCTTAAAGCAAATCTACATGATTCAAGACTACTTAACACACATATTTAGGAAAATCAGGGAACAAAGTAGTTAAATCTTGATGTACTTTGATAAATAAGCACATTGTCTTGCATCATTTCACACACCTCTGAATAGCAGCACTATAGAGAGAAAATCCAGCTTCTAAATATACAAATATAAAAGAACAATAATAAAAATCACAAAAAGAAGAGTGAATGCTTTAAGATAGGCTTATAACTAACTTTAGACAAATTAACTTTTCCAATACAGTATTCAGTTTCTTCACCCTTAATGAAAACAACACTGCCAAGAATAATAAAAGAATATTGCTAGGTTTAAGGAAATTAATTCATTTAGCATACAACTAGGAATATTGTGGGAACTCAATGGAAACTTCAAAAAAAGTCTAAACACTTATAAAAGACATTCCATGATTTTTTAAACTGTTCATTCAATAACACTGTCTCATAGAAATTGTGCTATACACTACCTGAAATCTGAAATCCACAGGAATCATATTTCCTAAAATTACAATCCCCTCCATTTTATCAAATCTAATTAGAAACACTGGGCCTGGACCCTTCTCTAAATATTTACAATAAGCCTTATGTCTTTAAGAAGTATAGAAACAATAGGAAATTTCAGACTAGTTTTCATAAAGAATACAGTAACAAAATTTTTTAAAACAAAGAATCACAAACATTATAAAAATTCAAAAAGCCTAACATACCCGATACTACTACTACACTCTTCCAATTTAAACATTTTTTTAAAACTAACACTTCCAAGAAATTCTGAGCATTCAAACACAAAAACATAATGATATAAGTACATCTGGTAGAAACAGACAAATATTATCAAGAAAAATTTATGCTCTACCTAAAAATATTAAACATTGTTTATACAATATATCCACATATCACTTCTCTGACTTTTGGCCAATATCAAGTGTAACAAAGCCTTCTTACACTGCTAGATGGAATGTAAATTAGTGCATCCACTGTACGAATTAGTATAGAGGTTCCTCAAAAAAAGCAAAAACAGAGAGTTCCATTTGATCCAGCTATAGTACTCCTAGGTAATTCCTGAGGCAATGAAAGTCAAAATAATATAGGGTTATCTGCATACTCATGGTTATTGTGGCACAATTAACAATAGCTAAGATATGGAAGCAGACTAAGTGCTCATCAGGAGAGGAATATAGAAAATGTGGTACATTTATACAATGGAGTACTGTGCAGCCATAAAGAACAAAATTTTGTCATCTGTAGGAAAATGGGTAGATCTGGAGATCATCCTACTAAACAAAATAAGCCAGACTCAGACAAACAAATACTGCATGGTCTCCCTCATATGTGGAATCTAAAAAAAGATGACAAGAAAGTAAAAGGGAGACTATTATTAAACAAGAGGGACTGGGTTGGGGGTATAGGGGCAGGTAATAGAGGAGATGGATATGATCAAAATATACACATTGAAACTCTCCCAAAAATGTGATACTAGTGTGCAGAATTACAAAGTAACTCAAGAGCTAAAGAATCAAAAACTAAACATCCATTACAGATAAACATAAAAACAGTAATACTGCATCAAACTACTGTTTTGAAAGTATTTACAATTTTCAATATTCACCTTGATAATGCTACAACTTGAGTGCAAATCAAATTAAAAAGAATGGGAAGGGGGTCGAGAGAAAGAGGGAAGAGAGAAGAGAGGGAAAGAGGATGAAAAAGGAATTAAGATATTTTACATACATGTGCCAACTCCACACAAGGAATGCAGTCATATGTACAGCAAATACATACTAGTAAAAAAGAAAGACCATAATGATCTAAATTTTGGATTTGTGAGCTCTTGAGAAAACAAGTCTACACTACAGTACAGAGTACCTATCCTACAGATACACAGTGAAGGTGCTTAGTACAAAGGTATCGATCAAACATGAATTCCAGAAACATATAACTAAAATAAATTCCAGAAACCAGTTTTACATGAAATGGGGAATGCTGATTAACAGTCCCAGGATGTTTCATGACTATTAAATGACTCTTTCCTCTTAGACTGAAAAGGCAAGTATGCGTGTATGACTATAAATGTGATTTTTTTTTTCTTTTATCAGTAGGACATTCACTTAATGCCTGGAAAATGAAAAGTACAACAAAATTATTCACACAGACAAAAGAAAAGTGAAGAAGGAGAAAACGAGGGTGTGAACACTGAAACAGGAATCAAGTTCTGCCACATTATCTTGAACAAAGCACTTAACCTTTTCAAAACTGTTTTACTATCAACAAAGGAAAATAATGCCAGCCACAGCATTACCAAACCAAAATAAGGGAAAGAACAATGCCAGATAATTATAAGGTATTTATCACTCAATATTCAGGAATTAAAATGCAGATAGCCAAAAATTCTCTTGAAGTTGGCTTTCAAAACAGATCCTACAGTCAATATTCATAAAATACCTATAGTAAATTAAGAGATAGTTTTACAGGGCCAGGGATTTAGCTCAGTGGTTTTGCCACTTGCCTTGCAAGTGCAAGGACCTGAGTTTGATTCCCGATACTGAAAAAAAAAAGAGAGATAGTTTTACAAAAAGTGATTCCTATATTAACTGAAAATGTATAAATCTTCAATATAATTTTCAATACCATTCAATATAATTTTCAATACCTTTCAATATAATTTTCTTAAACATAATGCAATTACATGACTATTGGGAAAGTTTATTACAAGGAACAACTTGTTGATATAACTAAAGGAACATGATTTACTTTACAAATTATTGCTTTTTAAACAACTTCCAAAAACACCTCCAATACCTAGTATTAGGTTACCTTATTATTATCTTACTACTTTCAAAATGGCCTGTAAAAGAAAGTATTGAACTCAATATTTCATTTAATTTTCTTTTCCAGTCCCAGAACACATCTCTAAGCAATTCTTTAAAAGATCTTTCAGAAAAACAAAAGTCATAGGTTATTATCTTTTTTCCTTTTCTTAATATTCTTTCTGTACTTATACATTTTAAAGATATAAATATAAAAGTGTTATATTTGTGATAACAAGATATAAATACAATGAAAAACTGTAATGATTAGTGTTGCTAATTTGGTATGGACTGCAAAATCTCTAGGAAATTAGTAAAAGGCACTTCTGACACATCTCAGAACGTTTCCAGAGTTGACTGGTATGTGAAATAGTAAACTAAACAGAGAACCACCCTTAATGTGAGTGGCCCCATCCAATTAAGGTGAGGGCTGAGGCAGAGGAGGCTGGGCATGGTGATACATGTCTGTAATGCCAGCTCTTGGGAGGCTGAGGCAGGAGGTTTACTGTGAGTTTGAGGATACCATGGGATCCACAGTGAGCTCAAGACTGGCTGAACTACACAGTGAGACCCTGTCTCAAAAAGATAAAAATTAATTAATAAGAAAGCAGAAAGAAGAAGCCCACTACTACAGACTAGCTCTCTGTAACCACGAGATGAGCCCCTTAGCTTTAACATATCCTTTAGCCAAGAGGTTCTGCCTTGCCGTAGGCCGGAAGTAATGTAGTCAGCCAAACATGGACTGAAATCATGACTCAAAATAAACCTTTCCTCCTGGCATTTAGAACCCCATATATACATGACAGAAAAGAACCTCCCGTGTGTATTAGCTACTTTACTCATTGCTGAGACAAAATACCTGCACCCAAAGTTAAAGGAAGAAAGGTTTATTGCAGCTCAATTTGTGGAGGTTTCAATTCATAGTTGGCTGGCTCCAAGACAGATGGCATGGCAAAGGGGCATCACAGAGGAGAAACAGTTCATGGCAAGCAAAAGGCAGCAAAGCAGCAAAGAAACAGCAGCAGCCTAACTCTCCCTTTTATGCCTTTCAGGCTTACCTCCCTTTGGGTGGTACCACCCACACCCACGTTGGGTCGTACCATTATCTACTCCCAGAACTATGCCAAGCCAATAAGTGGACTAATTTAGTAATCACACACTTAATCCCAACATCACACACCTTCAATCCACCCACCTCTGAAAAATCCCACCTATGACCACATGTGGCTTTAGGGGGACATCTAGACACATGCCACAACACCATGTCATACCACAGTTCAAACAGAAGGAGTACAAAACAAAGAAATGATATTAAAGCTGCAAGAGAAAAACACCAAATCACTTATAAAGGCAAACCCATTAAAATAACAGTAAATTTCTCAGCAGAAATTCTAAGGGTCAGTAGGACATGATATAATGCATTTGGAGGTATAAAAGAAAATAACCATGAACCTCGAATACCATATCCAATAAAGCCATCTATCAGAATTAAAGGAGAAAAAAAAGAAAAAAATTAAAGGAGAAATAAAGATCTCATAAGATAAGCAGAGACTAAAAGAATTCATGACCACTAAGCATTGTATAAGATCCTTAAAGAAACACTACACATGAAGATGAAGATTAGGCTAACAAATTACTATTGGGAAAGACTCAAACCATCACAAAAATAAAAAGGCAGGAATTAGTAATACCTTTCAATAACAGCCCTAAATATAAATAGCATTAATTCTCTAATTAAAAGAGACAGACTGGCAGACTGGATTAATAAGAAGACTCACTGTATGTTACCTTCAAGAAACACACCTTACCCTCAAAGACTTAGACAAAAGAAAAGGATAGAAAATCATATTTCATGCTAACAGAATCTAAAAATAAGTAGGAATAACTATATTCACATTTGATAAAAGAGACGTCAAGTCAAAATTATTCAGAAAAGATAAAGAAGGTTATTACATATTGGTAAAGGGAACCCACCACTAAGGAGAGAAAATTATATTAAACGTC